CCGCCTCGATTGTATACCCGCTGCTGTAGTTTGCTTTGCTTTTTGTAGACTTCCCATGCACACAAATACGCACAGAATAGTACATTCATCCTATTGGCTCCTCAGTTCCCGTCCTTCCGCCGTACTCTGCGTCTTAATTTTTCTTTTTGCAAATAAACCCCTCTAGCTATTTTTAAACGTTTTTGACTGCTAGATATTATTATGATAACATTGGCGAGTGTCTTAACAGCATTTGAACATACGGTTATATCTGGCTTCAGCTACTTAACTGTGTGATTTATCTTATTTTATTTTTGCATATTAACCCTTCAATGCTTGTTTTTAGCTTATTTTTAACGTCTGGTGGATCAATGAACATGAAATTGCTTGTTTAGTAACTACTGGAAACCTGCATTATCTTATTTTGAGTTTCATAGGTCTATCCAAACATTAATTTTGTGGTTAGGTTTTATAATACCCACTTAATTTTTTTTTCATATTAACCCTTCTGATGCTAGTTTTTGGCAATTTTTTCCTTTAGAAGGTCAATGAAATGAAATTCCTTGTTTAATAGGTGCTAGGAAGCAAGGTCTAGCATATTTTGAGTTTTTTTTTCATCCTGTCTTCCTTCAATTTTGGGATTTTCTATCTATTTAATCATGGCTATATATTTTTCTGTTAGATAAGACAATTTGACATGATTAATATCTAATAGAATTAATCAGGATAATTCTTAACCTGTTGATTCCTAGCATATTTTTATCCTTTAGATGGTCACTAAACTTGAAATAGCTTGATTAACAGCTAGTTGAAAACATGATCTAGCATATTTTAGTTTCAACATGTATGCCCCAAATTTCCAAAATTGGAATTAATTTGGTGACAATATTTAGTAGCCACCAGTCATAATAAACAGTAGCATTTTACAAGCATGAGAAATTTGGAGCTAAAAGGAAACAAAGAGGTTTCCATTGATGCAAAATAACTTACTCAACATGAATATCCTAGCAACTCCTGAGGCTTATAAGCAACTCCAGTTTCATAATCTTATACTTAATACTCATATAACTTGCACAAAAATTATGGCATTTACACAAGCTGAAGAATGGTTTTGTGAGAAAAGCAGACATGGGCAAGTGTTAATACTAAACGTGGATGAGTAGATCGATGTTAAAATTTGCTAAGACATTAAAATTTGTCTGCTCGCTGGGGATGCCAAATAATAAACTACAAAACCAGCAGCCTAGCTAATAGACACAAAAGCAGTGTTTCTGGGCAAAAAAAAAAAAAAAAAAAAAATGGATACAATTAAAATGCTGATTTCTTCTAGAGCTCTATATATGTGAGTTCCCGAGAGGAAGGATAAAACCTTTAACCGTGAAAATGATTAAATCAAGCGTATTTAGAGGATATCAATGGTATGTGATGGAAATGGGTGTGCGTAACTTATCAATAGAAGCCACTGGGAGAAGATAAACCTTTCTACTACTAACAATTAAGAGGGAACACACGGAGCTTTCTACGATAAATTTAAGCAATATGATCAAAATCTAAGCTTGTAATAACGGTATTAGGATGCTCTAGAATATGTTAGAAAGATCAAATCTTTTTTACGGTATAACTTCAACCTGCGCAATGGGAAAGAAACGAGAGGAACATGTCCACAGGGGTGTTTCCGCAAAACAACTGTTTATCTGAGCTCTATACAGGGAGGAGAAAGAGAGGGAGGGAGAAAGAGAGGGACAAAAGAAAGTGATGATGGTGTCAGAGTTAGCTGAGGCAATCTCGTGAGCCTCCCCCCCTAAGATTCTAAATAGATAGCAACAAGGGCATAATTGTAAATACTACCTCACCCCAAACTCACCAAACCCTAATCCCAAACAAAGAAGAATTCAAGAAATTAAACCCTAAACCCAATAATCCTCGATTTTTATTACATGTCGTTTCCCTCAAGTACTGCTTTGTCAAAGAAAAGGGCTAATCAGATCTTGCCACCTCTCTTTCGCTCTGAAGAGAGAGTAGAGAGAGTAGAGAGAGAGAGAGAGTAGAGAGAGAGAGAGAGAGTAGCAAGTAGAAAAAAAAGGGCTTTGCCCTCGTTTCCCAAATCTCTACTTGCTTCAACAGATCCCTGCTTGTTGCCCAACAAAGCAATGAGAGAGAAAACAGGAGAGAAATGGGTTGTTATCAAAGCTACAATCTTGGGTTTGATATACATAGAGAAAGAAAGAGGAAAGTACTGCTACTAAAACAAGGAAATGTAACCTCAGCTCAGCAAACTAGAAACTACCCGAGTGGAGATTCCTCCTCTTTCAGTGAAATCAAACAAAATTTCAGGCAACTGGGCAGTTTCAGCCGGTTAATTTGTTACCTGTTGTTTGCATACTCGTAGAGGCGGCCTCGGCTTGAGAAGACGATGAGGGCCACCTCGGCGTCGCAGAGGACCGACAGCTCATAGGCTTTCTTGAGAAGCCCATTTCGGCGCTTGCAGAAGGTGACCTGCCGATTAGTCGTGTTCTCTATCCGCTTGATTTCTATCTTCCCCCTGCCCATCTTCTCCTTGGGCTCCAGCGTTGACGGCTCCGTGGTTGCCTGAAGAAACATGGGAAAAGAAGAAAGATCTAGAGAAAGAAACTTAGAGAGCTGGATTGAAATTGGGATTAATTCATATGCACCCATGAGGAGAAAGGAGCCGGTCGATGATGGTATTATTTTGCTTACCGGTTTGAGAGAAGGATCGATCTGAGGAATGAATTTTGGATTGTAGTTTGTTAAGATGGAGGATGCCCCTTCTCTATTTTCCTTTGAGAGATGGAGAGATGCAATAGGAGGAAGGGGTTTGCTTTTTGGTTGTGGGGGGTTATTTATGGACTTTAGAACCAACTCTCCATACTTCTTATTGTATTTTTTTTTTTAATTTGTTTGAAGGGTTTCTCTCTCTCTCTCTCTCTCTCTCTCTAAAGAGGAAGATGCAAGGGGGGGACTGGTTATTAACTCAGGCATCCATTGCCATCAGTTTCAAGGATAGGATGTTGTGTGGGGGGGCTAGAGAGAGAAAGTGACTGTGTGTGTGTAGAGAGAGAGAGAGAGAGGAAAGGGACTTTGAGAAAGTGATTATTAATGGGGTGTGAATGGGCTGAGTTGCACTCAAATTATATGCCAAGGAAAAGAAATTGAAGCGGGTGGAGAGAGAGAGAGAGAGAGAGAGAGAGAGAGAGAGAGAGAGAGGCTAGTTCAAATTCATTCATTGTACTTTTTATTGCATCCCTTTGTCTTTGTGTTCCTTGCTTTTATCCTAGATTTAGCTTCTGAACTTGTTCCAAGTAGGAATTAAACCAAGAATATGACATCCATCTCTATAAAAACACTTAACCTTTTCTTTCACCCTATTGAACTTCTTCTTTTTTTTTTTTTCTCGCTTCTCCACTTTGCCTTTGTGTATGTATTATGTACTCTTATGTCAGATAGTTTTTTGAGTGTTATTTACACAGGAGGGTGACAACCATGTGACCTCCTCTTTGGCCCCCTTTGCTTGTTGCATTTACTATCTAGGTATTCCTTGTTGCCGTTCATTTTTGCTCCTCATTGAAGCTATGGACCCTTATTTCCTCTATTGTGATGTCGACAAGTTACTCAATCTATATCACTCGAACCTCCCCTCTTCAATCGATGAAATTAGGGTTTTCTAGCCATCTAATCACCTCAAAGTTTCCTTCACCTCCAAGTGTAAAATGTGTGTTTGATAATTTGCCAAAAGGATGTTATATTGATACATAGAGCATCTATTTGCGTCTTTTTTTTCTCAAAAGGATGTTATATTGATACATAGAGCATCTATTTGTATCTTCAGATGACCTAATTAACTAAATTAATCTTAAAATGCTTGTTCATTCTGTTGTGAAGATATATGGCAACCGACATGTCAATTATTAGAACAACACTCTTATGAAAATTTAGCACCAACCATGGTACAACGCAAAAATTCTTTGCTTATACTTGTATTTTCCTATTGACATGCTTTGAGGGCACCTTAAATTAACCTCCATATTCTCTTAACTAATGCACACATGGTTTAAGGTCCTTTTGTCCCCCACATCTACAAGATTTAGAGTATCACAAAATTGCTTTATATGCACATCTAGATTTCACCATTATAGAATATACTTACTGAGAGAAGGAGATCAAGGAAACATTTAATTTCTCTTTATGCTTACTACCTCAATTCAACATTTTCAATGAAGTGATTAGTAGCGTCTAATCCACTAATACCATCTTTCTTAACGAAAAGTTTCCCATGTTTCTTTCATATCTTCTATATATGTGCACACATAACTTTTAGCTCCATCCTGCTCATGACATTAATATAATCATTCTATTTCATCTTAGAGTGGCCACAATTTCAACGGGGAAAAACTAAAACTCCCCATAGTAAATAGAGTAGTCTTGACTGAGGGACCACCAAACAAAAAATTAATTACCATGTGCAAGTTTTGTATTAAAAAAACCTACTTTTTGATAGAAAACCTTGTTTCATGCTATGAAAAACATCATGATAGAGATGCAAATGAAAGTTTATCGTTCTCCTTTCATATATATGCTTAGTTTGAACAATCGTATAGGTTAATCTCTCAATTACTCTTAGGACATAGTCCATACAATAGCACCTATTTGAGTAATAACGAACTCTTATTTCGTACTAATAATTATATGAGGTGATATACAAAGTGTACGAGGCTAAACAATATGAAAATCAGTGTGAACATTGACTTCAGCCATTGACCCATCGACGAACATCAGCAACCCATCGATGAGCTAGTAGTCTCTACAGGAAGAAACTGCAGATTTTCAGAAACATGAATTTAATCATCGATTGATTACAAGAAACCATCAATAGTGCTTAAGAACCTATGGATGGTTGTGAGCACCCATCAATGGTTAAGACAGCTGATTTCAAATTTGATGATTTAATCATAGTTGTCTTGAATTGTGGAAAACATGCACACAACACGTACACCTAGTCGGTCGACTAATCCCATGTATCAGTCGACCGATATGAACCTGAGTTCTGAGTATTGTAAATTTTCTCTGGACTGTCGATCGATAGGATTTATCAGTAGACGGACTAGAGTTTGTTCGAGTGCATGTTTCATGCACTTCGGTCGACCGATGAATCCTATCGGTCAACTGATAACGGGCGAAGCGATTGAAAACAATTCCCTATTCGTTTTGGAATTAGGGTTTATATATTAAAATGAATGTTTTTTCTAGGTTTTTTATAAGAGAAAATTGAGCACTTTGAGAGGGAGATTCTTTGGAGGTGAGTGAGATCTTGTTGGTGAGGGTTATTTTGATTGTTTGAGAGTTGTAACTCATTGTATTTCTCCTCCATATAGTGAAATCTCCCCATGCTCTCCCCGTGGACGTAGGCATCTTGCTGAACTACGTAATTCTCTGTGTTTGCGATTGATCTTGCCTGTTTATATTATGGATTGTGCTCGTTGTGTTCTTTGTGCATTATTTACCGACTTGTTATGCATTGAGTCCACTTTCGTTGGACGCAACAAGTGGTATCAGAGCATGGTTTTAGATCTAGGGTTTGATTTAGGTGGAGTAAAATTTATTGTTGGAAACTTGGATTTTGGAGATCTAGGTTTCGGTGGAGGTAGCATTGCGGAGTTGCCATTGGAGATCTCGTCTTTCTCGTGTGGTTAAGAGATCATTTTGGAATCCTATCTAGGGTTCAATTTGGATAATTTCTTAATTCTATTATTTTTTTTAAATTTTTCCTCTACAATTTGGAGTTAGTAAGTAATGGTAGAAGAAAGTGTGATAGTAGCAAGACTATGTCGAGTACAGTTCAGGTTACACTTCAGAATACAAAGATCAGTGTTGTGAAGTATAGTAGCAAAATCAATTTTTGGTTATGGATGAGTGATGTGCAGGATGCTTTAAATGCTCAAAACTTAGAAGGGACAATAATGGCTCATGAGAGACCACCTAAATATGATGAGACAGTGTGGGACAAAATAAATAGAAATGATTGTGGGATGATTAGATCTTATTTAGAATAATAGTTGAAATATGATGTTATTGGAGTGACGTCTGCGATGAAGATTATTCAGATTCAAGATGTTGAGAGATACCTCACTTGCAGATCAAGTGAACAACTATACAAAGTTATTGTCGGACTTGGCAAATATTAATGAGAAGATATTGGATGAGTACAAGACGATTATTTTGTTAGGCTCATTACCCGATGAGGATTTTGACACCTTTGTCCTTACATTGTTGAATGGTAGATCTTCTATCACCTATAGTAAAGTTACAAATGTATTGACAAATTTTAATTTGAGGAGGAAGGATAAATAATCTTCCAGAGCTAGCACTTCAAGAGAAGCCTTGTCGACAAGAAGAAGGAGTCTCTATCCTAGAGATGGTAATCGAGGTAGGTCAAAGTTTAGAGGACAATCAAGAGGACACTACCAAGTTGCTAAAAACAAGTGTGCTTTCTACAGAGAACAAGGACTTTGGAAGAGAGATTGTCTGAAGCTGAGAGAGAAGGATAATAGCAAGAAGAAGGGCTCGAAGGCCAGTGAGGTGAATGTTGCTAGAAATGATAATGATTCTGATGGTTCATGCTTTTCTCTTTCCATTACTCCAGAGATTAACCATGTGAAAGTATTAGATTAGATGTTGGATTCTAGGGCTACTTATTATGTGACTCCCCGAAGAGATTGGTTTGCATCTTTTGAGAAGCTCGATGGGGGTGTGATGATCATGAAAAACAACCAGTCCTCTGGCATTAGTGGGATAGATACTATCGGGATTCAGATGCACGATGGAGTTGTTACAGAGTTGACGAAAGTAAGGTTTGTTCCTCAACTAAAGAAAAATCTTATTTATGTTGGAGCTTTATAGGCAAAAGGATTCAAGGTAACTTAAGAGAACGCTGTAGCTAAAGTTACTAAAGAATCAGTGGTAGTGATGAAAGGGGTCCTCAATAAAAATCTCTATTATCTAAAGGGAAGTACCGATATTGGCCAGATAGCTTTAGCAGTTTCAAAGGCGGATGCTAGCAGACTTTAGCATTTCAGACTTGGGCACACAGGGGAAAGTTACTATAGGCGTTGTGCAAGTAGGGATTATTAAAAAGAGCCAAAAGTGGGAAATTAAATTATGTGAGCAATGTATTCTTTGCAAGAAGACTAAAAGTGAAGTTTGAGATAACCATTCATAAAACTAATGGCATCTTAGACTATGTACACACGGATGTATGGGGTCCCACCAAGACAACATCACTTGGTGGGTGACATTGGTTCGTCATTTTTGTGGATGACTATGTACGCGTCAAAAATTACCTACAGGTTTCCATGCACAACTCAAAATAAAAAGAATGCGATAAACGCCCACTAGTAGAAAAACGAGTAACCTAGACAAAAATTTCCGTCTAGGTTGCTCCAAACCCTGTCTAGGTTGGTTCACCTAGACGGAATTATGTCTAATTAGGTCCGTTTATTTTGATTCAATCTATATTGGCTCAAACTAGATGGAATTCTGTCTAGTTTGATCAATCTAGACAGAAATCAACCTAGACGAAAATAAGAAGTCCGTCTAGGTTGACAACATAGACGGAAATCCATTTAGGTTGACAACTTAGACGGATTTCCGTCTAGGATGTCAACCTAGACAAAAATCCATCCAGGTTGTCAACCTAGACGGATTTCCATCTAGGATCAACCTAGACGGATTTCCATCTAGGTTGATCTTAGACAGAATTCCGTCTAGGTTGATTATGATAACCTAGACGGAATTCCGTCTAGATTGACTCATCCTAGACGAAATTCCATCTAGGTTGATATGTTTTCAGTAAAAAAAATTACAATTTGTATTTCCTTGTACAATTACATTAATACATGAATACATCCAATAAATACCGTACACATGAATACATCCAACCATCCAAATATAATCAAAATTCATAATAATTTCATTCAAAACCAAATATAATCAAATCCAACACAATGCACAAATCCAACCATCCACTCCAAAATATATATATCAACAAATCCGTCTAATATATACATTAACAACATATATACTAACAATGTACATGAATAAGATAGGATACATGACATGAATAAATATA